AAAAAAAAAAAGAATTGAATTGTATACTCTTCACCTGGGATCTCTAGATGTTAACATTTTCTACATTTGTTTCATCTCTTCCATAAATATATACTTATTTTTATTGACCCATTTGAGAGTAAGTTGAAGAATCATGACATTTTTTCCCCCAAAACTTCATTGTGTGCCTCCTAGGAACAGGGCCTATTGTCTTACATAGTTTGTCTTTCATGACAGACATTTTTGAGGAGCGCTTGCTCACCAGTTATTTTGTAGAAAGCCCCTCAGTTCGGGTTTGTCTGATTGTCTTCTGATGTTAAGATTCAGGTAAGAATAATACATAAGTGTGTCCTTTCAGTGTGTCACCTCAAGAAGCCCATGATGTCAGTTTTTCCTTTTACTGGTAATTGAATCTGATCACATGGTTAAGGTGGTGGATACAAAAGTTTTTCCACCAGTTACCATTTTCCCTTTGTAATGAATATCTAATTTGTGGGGCATTCTTTAATCCTGTCCATCAACAAACTTTCACCCAGTAATTTTAGTATCCATTAATGACTCTTGCCTCAGTCAGCAATTCTGTGTTGATTATAAAATCTTGAGTTTCTAATCTCATCATTATGTCTACATTTATTAGTTAGAACTCTGGGTAAGGAAGAGCCTTCTCTTCTCTTGTGTTTATTTTCTTAGATACAGTTTGGACTCATGTATTTTTTTAAAACTTAATGTGCTATTCATATTGATGCTCAAAATTTCCTAATTTGTCCAGTGGGAACTCCTTCACGCTGGCTCCCCAGGTCTTTTCGATACGTCCCTATAATCTTTTTGAGCGCTTTCTTATTTTTCTGACACAGGATAATGTTCCAGGCTCATCTTACGTTTTCCTTGCCCAGCCCTGGAATCAGCAATCTCTCCAAGGAGCCTTGATTTATTTTAGTTGATATATCATTTAAAAGTTAAAATTGGCACTAGGTGTTGACATTGATACTGGGTTGTCATCGTTTCTAGGCATTTTCAGACAGCTAGGAAATATTTATACAAATGTGTGTATATGTATGTGGAGTACTTGTATATATAAGTATATATTTATTATATTTTTAAATCATGAAGTTTGTAATGAAACTCTTCATTCCAATCCAGTACCACGGGTTCTTTGCTTTTCCTCATTCAATGTTTATGAGCATACTTCGAAAACTTCATAGAAAAATAGAAGTAAAAGATAATATGAATCTTTCCATGAATTTTTTGAGGTACCATCATATGCTTCTTTTCCCACAGCCAAAAACCCACTCCTATTATCTTCAATATATTTTACTCATTTACTCAATGCTATGAATAACACAAGTTTCAGAATCACTGTATTGACAAGCAACTGTATTGACAAAAAACCTTCCAGAGTAAAGTTCAGGACTTTATGTGTTGTTGCATTTGTGTCTTTAGCTGGCAGAAAGAAGAGAGGCTGTGTCTGTGCTCAGTGTTCTGACC